AGGAGGTTGCATGACAGGCACCTCAAGAATGTGAGGGAGGGTCAGGGAGGGGAGGGTGTGAGGAGGCTGCACAAGAGGTGCCATGCAGGTTAGGGAAGGTATGTGTGATGGATTGGGATGAGAAGGTTCAAGGACAGAAGCATTTCCTCAGCCCACAGCTTGAGCATGGGAAAGCAAAGAGGATGACACTGGCACCAACCTAAGGAATTTGTAGTGTTTAGTTGCTGGCTTGGGGAGTTTAGAGTTACTCTGGCAAGATTCTGTCTGGCAGGTGCGAGCTAATAAAGTAACTGAGCTGTTCCAGTACTGTCTCATGGAGTTTCTTGGGCTTAACCTGACAGTACTGTATGTGAGGATATGAGGGGGTGCAATGGGGTGCACCATACAGGTCAGGTAGGGTTCAAGAGGATGTGAGGGGGTGCACAAGACATGCCACATGGGTCAGGGAGGGTTGAGGAGAATGCATGAGGGTGCAAGGGGTGCACGAGAGGTGCCGTGTGGGTTGGGGAGAGTGTGTGAGGATACATGAGAGGTGCTGCACAGATTGGGAATGGTGTGTGAGGGTGCGGTGTGGGTTGAGGAGGGTGTGTGGGGCTGCACATGTGGCTGGTGCAGCATGAGCACAGAGGGGCTCAGGGAGGGTGCGCAGGTGGGGGAGACTTACCCTAGTTACTTGCAACCTTACCTGCTGGCTTCCCCACTGACTTTCTAGGGAAGCCAGAAGGGCAGGTTGCAAATGGTGATTATGTGATTGCAGGGCTCTTGGCAACCAGTCGTGTGAACAAGTTGCCAAGCACCCAGATCACTATCACATGACCATGAGGGTGCTGGAATGGCCAGAATTCTGAGGACTGGTCATAACCACCATTCGTTCAGCACCGTTGTAACTTGGAATGGTCACTGACTGAATGGTTATAGGTCAAGGACTACCTGTAAATTATTACCGAATATTTTAATTAGTTCTAAATGATGTTTAGCATAGAAATATCTACCAAGCTGAAGAAAAAGAAAAATGTTGAGATGATCAAAGCACCATGGGACATATACAAGATTTAAATAAGGAAATGAAAATATAATTTATATAAATGTACTTATCTTTTACTAATTAATGGAAACAGATATCAATGATTTGTGTTGTATTAATATTAATAAAGTTATATATTTATGCCTACAATATATAGATATGGTAAATATTTTTTATTTTTTTTAATCAACCAACAAACAAATATTGTTCTCAAATTTTTGAGATGAGCTAATTATGCTTTTACTACAAGAGTTTTTGTTATATTCCTTTCAACCCAGAGCTATTTAATTAGATAATTATCTAATTAATCTGAATCTGAATATTCAAGCATACTTCTAAGCATTGGTGGGATAGATCAATATATAAAAGAAAAAATAATATTTTAGACCAAATTTCTCATATTCTAATTTTATTTGTAATTTGAGGTTGCTGTTAATAACTAATTTTATAAAATAATGAATTTGTTCCATTCTTTTGTAGTACAATGGCCAAGAAAATAAGGCTGCAGAAGACCCTTACAAACAGCAGATGGCCCAATTTTCAGATAAATTTCTACAGGAACTCAGAACAGTGCAATCTTAAGTATACCTATTCAAGAATGAGTCTCAATGAATTCCCATTCAATTCATATTGTGTCAGTTTCAATGTGTTTACAGTTCGGCTGCTGAAATATTTTTGCAAAGCAATGAATTTTCTTATTTGCAAAAACAATGCCTTTTAGATGTACAGTTTAGCAGATGTTACTGATTCATAGAAGACCCCGGTCTTCTTAATATAGATCATAGCCTCCACCCAGAACCCAAGGGATTCAATTTTGACTATAAAAATATCCAATCCCATCTATGTTTATGGAAAAGAAAGGTACACACTTTTTAGTTCACATAACAGATATGGGCCAGTCCTCACTGCTCTCACAGTTGTCTTCATAAGCATGGTTATGGGTTGGGGACTTCTGCTATGTACAGAACCTTCTGAACAGGTTGAATGCATCTATGTGTATTTCCTCCAGAATTGATTATGTGCCATCAGGTAGGTGTTGACTCCTAGTAACTACAGAGATAAACCTTCTCCGGGATCGTCTGTCTTTGAACAGGCCTTTCAGATGTCCTAACAAGGCACCCGTTGCCAGTAGGGTTCCAGGGGAAACCTGATGTTGCTCTTGAAGGTTTGGCACTCAGTCCAGCCAAAGCCTTAGTCACTGCTTGGAATGAGAGGACTTGAATCACATTATGCCCATGTGGCCTCTCTCCTCCTGTAGATCCTCTGTCTCCCCTCATTTTATGAAGGTGCTTAAGGAGAGGAAGCAGAAGAGAAGATGCCAAGAGCGCTTGTAGGGTGTCAGGGAGATGACCTTGAGGGAAATAGGCAAGAGCTGCTATACAGTATAAGCAAAGAGGAGTGACACATTCCTTAAGTCCTGGGAAACAAGATAATATTCAGAAGAGACTCAGGGAAGTTCCTCCCTGATTCACTAGGGTGTAGGAGGGAAGAAAGGTAAAGCACTATCAGGCTTGCAAGATTCTGATATTATAACCTAGTTCCAGACTTTCTGTGGAGTCTGTTTCCTGATCTTATCTACTGTGAAGGGCTGACAGCGCTACTAGAGGGCAACATAGAGTGAATCTGACTGAACACAATCTAGGGTCCATGTTAAGGCCTACCTTGTGGTGATAAAGACAACGAAGTGTAATTACTTTTCCATCTTATTGTTTCCACAGACAGCCAGGTGACCTGATCCCTCCTGGGGAAGTTAGGATGGAGATCCACTTGCAAAAACATAATGAGGAATATACTAGGCATCTTGTGGATAGTCACTCCAATTCATTCCAAATTGGATTCTGGCCTTGGTGCAAGTCCCATGGAATTGACTAAAGTGCGTCTTAGTGTGGTTACCTGGGCTGCACCCAGACCTTATCATATGTCATCTCCCAGGTAGCTTTAGCCAGCCAGGAGGGACATGGATCTAAAACCAAGCTGGCTGAACTTACAGTCCTGAGAATGCATCCCTAGACCTGACCATTGGAATAACTTTTGTTGTTGTTGAAGGTGGTTGCCTTGCAGCTTCAGAGGGTTTTGGATGAAGCAGATTATCTGGACCCCTTCCAGTCAGGTTTCAGTTCCGGGTATGAGACTGAAATGGCATTGGTTGTGCTTCTGGATGAGCTTTGGAGGAGGCAGGATAGGGCTAGTGTATCCATCCTTGCTCTCCTTAATCTCTTAACAGCCTTCTATGACATTGACCATGGTATACCTTCTGGACCAGCTCTGGGGATTAGGATTTGGGGCACAGTAGTATGCTGGTTCTCCTCCTTCCTTCAGGTTCAGTTCCAGTCAGTGTTGATGGAGGAGAGAGGGCTGCTCTACAGCTCCTTTTATGTGGTGTAGCTCAGGGCTTGGCTTTTCCCTCTCTCCTGTTTAATGTTTACATGAAGCTGGTGGGTGAGGTCTTTTGGCAGTACAAGGTGAGGTATCAATATGCTGATGATACTCAGCTGTACTGTATATCCCGTGCAGCCAGCCAAGTGATGCTGTGGAGGCTCCGTCTCAGTGCCTGGATGCTGTTGGAATATGAATGGGGAAGAAGAAGCTCAGCCCTAGCAAAATGTAATGATTTTGGGGGTTAGGGCTTCCTGGACCTGGTGATTTTCCATCGTTAGTTCTGGATGGGGTTGCAGTAACCCACACAGAACTGGTGCACAATTTGGGGGTCCTCCTGGACTCCCAGGTCCTGTTTGAACAAGGGGTGTCACCAAATGCACCCCTTCCTGAATCAGGAGGCACTGTGCATGGTCACTCATGCTTTGGTTACCTCCTGAATGGATTACTGCAATGCACTCTACATGGGGCTACCCTTGAAAAACATTTGGAAACTTTGTTGGCCCAGAATGAAGCAATGTGGGCAGTTATGGGTGTGTCTCATGATACCCATGTTACACCACTGCTCTGCAAACTGCACTGGCTCCCAATTTCCTTCTGGGTGCAATTCAAGATCTTGGTTACTACCGATAAAGCCCTATATGCCATGAGGCCAGGGTATTTGAGGGACCACCTTGCACCCATTGTTTCTACCTGTCCCATTAGCTGGGGCATGCTCTGGATCCCATCAATCAGAGATTGTCATCTAGCAGGCCTTTCATAGTTGCACCTATCCTCTGGAACAAATGCCATAATGCTTGTACCTGTGTCTGTGAAAGAACAGTCATACCTTTTACTGCAAAATATATATATATTTTTTTTGCTATACATAAACAATGCCAGCAAGCATGTATGTATAAGTCGGAAGGGGGATGGCTGAACTGCTAATTTTTATACAGGGTGTCTTAGGGTTTTTTTATTATTATTATTTTATTTTTGGGCGCAATGAGCTTGTAGCCGCTCAGGAGCGTCCCGAAGAGTTTCTCGCAGAACGGAATCCTCTTCGTACCCCGCTCCGTGCACGTGTCTCTGCGCGCACGCGTAACGGGCTGTGTGCTTGGATTGGGAGAAGGAAATGTCCCTTTGCTTCACCATCTTGGGCGACGGGCACCTGTTTGCTAGCCCGGATAGGGAATCTGCAGGCGAGAACTCCCTTCCCAGAATCTCGTCTCTGTGTTGCCCGGGCCGGAACTTCCCCGCTCCAAGTTTGCCGGGGGCAGCTGCCGCCGACCATCTTCGCGCGTTTCTGGACGGGCTGTCTGCGTGGCTGAGCTGCGCTTGCAGCGAACGCCCGAGAAGACGCGGCTCTGAGGCGCGAAGGCAGCAGGAGGCGCTGCTTGGCGCTTCTGCGGCGGGCCCCCCCCCCCGCCTCCTCCGCCCCCTGTCCCAAAGAGCGGGAGGCAGAAGAAGTCCGTGGGACGGAGCGGTTCAGCAGTCTTGTCTGCGGCGCTTCAGCGGCATTTCAACTCGGACAAACTTGAGGCGCTTCGTGGTCGTCAACGCGGACGGACAAGAACAAACCATGGTGTCTTTCGAGCAAATGCGGTAGGAAAGAGGGAAAATAAGTCTGCGGGCAGGGTGGAAGATCCTCCAGGAGAGACCCCGTTCGCCGCACCAGCAGCTCAGCTTAGAAGGTGAGGGACGTCGGAGGCGGGAAGGACAGGTGCCTACCGAGGATGCTACTTGGCGGCGACTTTTTCGGGCGGGGAGAGAGGCTGAGGCGCTGAGGACTTCGCAGTGGGGAGGTGGCGATTTAGTTCGCCCCATTAAGAGTTCGTAAAGTCATTGGGTGTAAAAAAAAAAAAAAAATCACTCAGAGATATAGCACTTCGGAAGCGAAGGATTTCCCCACCACCATGTGTGGCCAAACGGGTAAGTGTGCAGGTCACAGAGCTTAAAACCCTCCAGTCGACTGCGGAACACTCCGGGTATGTGTGGCGGTCGGGAAGGCGGTGGGGGCTGTACATGCGAAGGCTGTGCAAGCGGAACGTGTGGAGGGAAGGGTTCAGAAAAGGCTCTCGACAATTAACCCCCCCCCCGCCCGCGTTCATGTTTTCTGAACGAGACTGATTTGCTGTGTGTTGCAGAGAATGCAACCAGCGCCAACATGCACACCTGTGCCATTGTTGTGTAAAGTTGCAGTCTTCCAAGTAGGAAAACTGAAATTGTTGTCTTTTGGCATTACGTTTTTGTAGGCAAGATGGAGCAGTGAAGGACACCTTTGCAAGCCCAAAGTGCCCATATGGTTCATCTAATGAAGCAGGTTTTGTCTGTAAAAGCTGTTCCCATAAATAACCCCAAATAATGGATGTGACAGCCTTTCAGCTACTCTTGGTTAATTTGCCCACATTTTAGCAATTTATTTCTGGGTTTCCAATTTTCACTATGTCCTTACAAGAGTTCTCTTTTCTTAATATAACTATGTTTTGGGAGAAAAAAGAAACTTACTGTAGTACCTTTCCTTCTATTCCTCCCTTCAGAAGTTCATTCAGGTTTTTTTTTTCCATTCAGGAAGAATTTTACCTTCCAGAAAGGGTGGGCCAGCACTCTTTGTTTTATTAATAATTTGTCACTTGACTAGTTTCATGCATTGTTTTTTAATCATTTGACCATGAAATTTAAGCTAAGGAGTGCCCATATGCATCAATCTGGTATTCGATTATGTTTTTAGTATCACTGTCACTGCTTAGAACATGTGAACTAACTCTAAAAGACAATGCTCTGAAAATGCAAAGAGTGTAGTTTCTTACTGAGTGACAACACCCTGTCTTGTATACAAAGCTGCCCTCTTTGTGATCAGTATGGACAATAGAAATATCAACAGGGCTACACTGACTGACAGAAGATCTCATTTTAGAAATTAAATTCTAGCTGTCTGTAATTTGATTCTCCCCAAGAAGGGCTTGGCATGCTCACTAGTCTTTAAACACTTGACCAGTATCAGTAAACCAGTTAATTAGAAATGAAGGTTTGACATTCCATAACACTTTCCCATCCTGCCCTAAAAGAGAATCTTTTGTAGGTCCCTGATTTGCACAGTTATCAAAAGCCTCTGATGTTGTTTACTTGTCTCAGACATGATTAAGCCCTACAGTATTTGAGTTATAATGCCTTCTATTCTGTACCATTCAGGTACACTGAGTATTGGCAGAAGTGTAACAACAAAATGTTTAGAGAAATCTCTCCAGTGATTGAAACAGGCAGATAAAATCTGAGTGAGCTCAAAAGGTACAGAATGTTGACTAACTGTTGGTTGGGTGGGAGAAGTGGCAGAGATAGAGTAGAAAACAGTTTGGCTAGAAATTCAGTTCACAATGTAATGTTTTCTTGCAACTCTGATAACTATAGCTAATACCAAGTACAGGATAAATAAACAATAATTCTCAGGAATCATATTCAAGATGGATATAATGGAATGCTCTCTGATTCACCTTTATGACTGGTGTGTGTACAAAAAGACTGACAAAGTAGAAAGGGTGTATCTTGTTTTCTTAAATTGTGATGTTAGGATGACATCAGTGATAAATTTCAGTGGACTACTGGAAGTTAGTTTCTTGACTATTTTTGAGAGGACCAATGATCCCATCTACTGGAACACCAGGGTAATGGCAGCATTGTTTTTGCAGTAGCAAGTGAATGAGATGATAATGAGGCCTTCATGAGCATAGAGGAACACATAGAAAGAAAAAATAATAAAACAGAAGTAATCCTTTTATTTTCTTTGATATGATAATTCATGCTAACCATATGCAACATTTTCATATTTCATTGATTAAATGTTTCATTCATTTGTCTGAACAAAAGTCCTTTGTTGAAGCTCAGAATATTTCACAAGTTAAACTTATGTTGTAAACTTTGAAGTCAATGAAACTGTCTCCCAAATAACAACGTTTAGAATAGCAGACATATCCATAAACTTAAGCTGTGAGATTTTATTAGTGGTTGATTCATTTGGGATGACTCTATCATATAATGGAATTTTTAAAAGGGATACTAAAAAGACATATTTTTTGTCTTGTCTAATCCTGTCAGTTTTATTCCTTTTTTCTGAGAGCCTTCAAGAAACATTACTTGTCTCTGCTATGACCTGTGATAATCTTGGTTTTACTGCTGCTGTTTAATTGTTAATGGGTTTGATGTATGCTGTGTTTTGATTTTTTTTTTATGGTTGAGCGTATTTTTTTTTGGCATATTTTTAACTATTATAACACTTGTCAGATGAACAAACAGGATATAAATATTTTAAACTGTATCAATTGTGTTCAGGTATATGAAATTGTCTCTAGTGGGATATCCTTTAAGCACACATGATTTAGCAGTTTTCCAACTCATTTTCCTTCTGTGTTTGAATTGTATGGTTGCTGGTTTTATCTGTTGTCATATCACTCATTTCCCATCATTTACTTACTCCTTTGTGTTCTATATTGTTCTATATCATTTATACAGTGATCAGAGAATCAAAGTTATTAGGTGGTTAACGAACACATGAAATAGGTAAAATTACAATTTCATCTTTTTCCTATCAAAACTACCGAGGCTGCTTGTTTCATCAATATCAGTTAAGCTAGACACAAGGCTAAGGTAGCGCTTTGACAGTAAATGCTTAGTAGTTGGGAAGATTAATAATAAATCTGTAGAAATGGAAGTATAAAGTTTTCTAGCCATTAAAAAAAATGTAGCCATTGACTGAGCTGTCTATGTAATGCAAGACTGAAACTGAAAGCTGGCTTCAGACTTCATTTTTCTTTGTAAACATTCGTGAATGCCCAGTAACACTATTCAAAATGAGAGCATACATAATTAACTATGTGTGTTCTTCATGATGTGCATGCAGTATGGGATGTAAGGAAATGGGTTTAGCAAAACAGTAAAGTGAGTAACTAGCATCCTGCTGAATAGTTTATTTACATTTTTCAGGGCCAAGTTAAGAATGCCAGTCAGCTGTACTGCAGAACCTTAATAATTGAGTGATGAATATATTATAGGGCATATTTTCTCATTCTGCAAATTTTAAAAAAAAAAATGTGCACTTTTCAGCATGTATTCCGGCTTGCTCATGTAAATTAATATTTGATTTGGCATTTTTATTACATGCTAAATATTAGCATTACTTGATATCATGAGATGCTGTTTAAATGGAAAAGGCAATTTAGCTAACAAAACTATCTCTTTATTTGGTAATCTCGTTTGTAAAATGAAGATTAATCAGACTGGTGTTAAATTTAATCTCCAATTTACTGAATTATATCTGTGTGGGAAATGAGCACTCTGAGTTATTTACTGCTTTGTAATTAGGCTAATATATCTCCAGCTTTTTCGCATCAGACATAGATAGATAGACAGACAGACAGACAGATAGATAGGAATTTTGGTGGTGTTTGTTTCAACATGATAGACAAAACAAAGAAAACACCCCTGTGTACAGCAGAACAGGCTGGATAGCATAGAGCGCCACCTTTTGATGTGGGAGACCAGTTGGTACCTACCTTGCCAGTAGGGGTCCTTGAGCAAAGACCTCCTAACGCTTCACCTGCCTACATCAAATAGGAAAGTCTCACGAACTAAGAGAGTCATGCTGGCTCAGACGTCGCCCAGATTAACAAGATCCAGATCAGATGTTGGGGAACCAGGATAATCTGACGATAAGTGGGCTATTGGAACAAACTATACATGAATGAGACAAGAGAACCTGGAATTGATGTAGTGCTACTACAACAATAGACCTGATGAGAAGAGATATATGAAATGTATGAGGGAACTATGGATGGACAGAAGACCTATATCCACACTAACTGAGAAAAAGCTTCAACATAATGAAGAGGAAGCTGTTCTCACAACTTGAAATAGGCCAATTACACATTATATCCTGGAATCAAGACCCGGAAGAACAACTCGATGTGCAGCCAACACCTAAAGCTGGAACGTCACTGCTACCCCCTCCATTACAGAGCACAGCAGCTGATATAAGGCACAAGATCATGGATAAACTAACTACAGTCAACCCTCGAGACTGATTACCAAGGCTCAGTGGTGAAATACCATCAGATAGTATGCTAGAAGATGCCAATAGAGTCCTTACGACAATCCAATCCCCACTACCACCATAACTGAAACCAATGAACTGGTATACGCTGCAGCCACTGTAATTCTAGAGATGCTTGGTTACATGATCAAGAAGAACAGCAGTACATACCTGCCCCCACCGGGGAAAATGAGGTTGGAAGCTAAGATCAAGTCAATTTGGAGAGAAGTAGCTGGTGGAACTACAGAAGTGTGTGGAGATTAAGGATAAGACTCAGCTACTGAAAAAATACAAGGGTCTGATTCATCTGAAGCCCTAGAGACTGCTAAACAAAGGCTCACAGCACCGGCTGCCAGGCTAAGGAGGTACACTAGAGAAGCAGAGGCCAAGAAGATAAATGCCCTGTTCTCCAAAGAAGACATATCACACCAGTGCAAAGTGGCTGCAGGACCTAAAAGCAGACCACACCAATTTCCCAGAATAGGAGCTAGTCACCATCACAGTAGCAGACATCCAACAGTGAGTCAAGAACATGAAGAGCTGGACAGCGCCTGGCCCAGACATGATTCACACCTACTGGCTAAAGAAACTAACAGCAGTGCATGAATTCCT